AGTTTAATATTCCTCTCTATTTTCTCGGCCAATATGAATGTTAGCTTAGTGCAGGTCATTAGTTGATTTAAAAATAAACAGTGCTACGACGAGAACAGGTGTTACAAGAATTCGGGCGTTAAACTTGAGCTAGTGATCCACGTAGAAATTGTTACGAGAGAAAATAATACATGTGAAAATTCAATTCAATTGAAATGTTGAGTTGCAAACATACGGAAGGATATGCATGTTGAATTACTGTACATTTAATTTCTGGCAATAAATACATTTGAAAGGCCGAGATCTTTTAGTGGTTATCCTCGTTGTTTCAAAGTCCTGATGTAAACACCTTACCAGCTCTTATAGAACTACTCAGCTCCAAACACTATTATATAATATTTAAGAAATAGAAAACATGTACCGCGTTTCTATCGAGTTTTAGTATAAATCTACTAGCGTTCTATCACGAATGCCCCTCTCTGATTGGCTACGCTACTCACTATCTATGCTGTGATAGATAGTGAGTAGCGTAGCAGTGTGCCCTTGTTAACAAAATGACGGCCGCTTCTTGGCGCTTTTTAAGTGTCTGTGAAGAGCATTTAGAAAAAGTTTTGATCGACTAGTAGATTTGTACTGAAACAATAAGATTATTTGCTCTCGATTTCTATGCGTGATAGTTGACTCAGGCTGCGCCCTCGTCAACTATCACGCGATAGAAATCGAGAGCGAATAATTTTATAGTTTAGTGGAAATACGATTTTTAACCAATCAGCGCGCGTATTTTCTCAGGACTGTTTTCTAAGTCGAATTTTTCTCACATTCTGATTGGTTCCTACTTGCGATCAGTTGGAGGAGAGACGGATAGATGACGTCATTAACATTTCTTGTTTCTTTCAGTTATATAGTAAAATTCATAGATTCCATGTTGCCGTGCGTCTGTTCAGTGGTAGATTACAACTGACGTCAAAATGTGGCAAAAACATTTGTGACACTCGGCTATCGGCTCGTGTGTCACTTTTTCGTTGTTTCCACATTTTGATTCTATCTGTGATCAGTCACTGAACAGACACGCGGCAACATGGAATATATTTGTTGAATTAATTTTAGTTCCCAGCCATGACGAAGAAACTCTACATGCAAATGTAACAATGCCACAAACTATTGTGGTATGTGACCCCGAAAAGCTCATATTTAAAGTCAGATGGCGAAGTCCTTTGACGTGGCACCAAAACAGTCCCACAGAGTTGTCTTATAACTACGATGGTCATTTAGGGGGTATAAGTCCACCTTAAAGATGGGTTTTCGATTGCAACAGGCCTAATTGGGTTTTTCGCCAACTACTCTGATGACTTTATATTTGTAAATAAAGTGTTGCATTCATGGTGTTCCATAAAAACTCTCGAGGATGCAGAGATGTAAATTTAAGTAAGTTCCTACATGTAACATTTGAACTTCCCACTCAATGACCACACAGCTCTGGTGGCTGTTAGCAGACTGGGTACATGTCCAATGGAAACCCAACTTTTGTTGAGAGTAAAGTGCGCTCTAGAGGTCCTCCGGAAGGCGGTGTCTGGTTCACAGTATCAATGAAGTCCCTAGGTCAAGACGTACAATTATACCTCGGCATGGACTTGGTTACGTCTATCAAGTCGCATTTTGCTCCAAGGGTCCACTAACCAGCACAGTAATTTCACGTAAACATCCCCCTGAGGATGTTCGTTGCATTGTTTAAGCGAGCTCTCAGAAGTAAATTGATAACAATAGATTAGCAGACATTGTGTGTAGCGGTCATTTCATAATAAAGATGCATTTCTATCGCTTCATTTCAGTTTCTCTTGTTTATTTTACGAATCAAACTATCACATGTTGAAGAGCAATTTTTACGCCCGCTTTGAATTGCCATTTATAGGCCAAGGAATTCTTACCAATATAGGAAGCTGGAACAGGGATAGCGACCGCTCCCACCAACATGACCGAATGTGGTCCGGGTTCGATTCCAGCCAGGTACCATTTGTGGTTTGAGTTCGGTTGTTGGTTCTCGTCTTGCTCCGAGGGTTTTTCTCCGGGTTCTGTGCTTTTCCTACTTCCAAAAAAAAAGCAACTTTAATTCTTCGAATTCCAATTCAACCTGAATAGAAGAACGGGATGAAAACCAGCTAAAGCCGATCTTACATGATATATAAATGATAGCTAACCTACGAGTTAAAAACTCACTTGGATTTTAAGGGTTCATTGTGCCATT